TATATATATATATCACTGGTGGTGAAGTTTCGTCCCCAGTGGCTAACCAAATCGAGGGTGGGCGCTAATAAGGGGTTGGCGCTGAACTAATAATTTTGCTATAGGCTTAGCCTGGTAGGGTACTAACTGCCCTTGTCAGCAATTTTCTTTCAGATACCTGGCTGGTTGTATATCTGTCTGATAACATCCAAATTACGGTGAAAGCAAGCTTGTATGTGAACTACTGTTTAGACAAAGCCGTCGCCAGAAACATCTTTTACATTATTGAAATTCGGAATGGTGTTTCTTCTAAATTTGAAAAATGTACATAATAGGTAAGTAAAGCGTGTACTATGTTGTACTGTTTGCTGTATAAGCCTGTGTAGGCCTACATAGTGTTAGATTTAATTGCGGCATCCATTTTTGTGTTATTATTCAGGCCTGCATGTTTCAGACTGGGGACTTGCTCTAAAATCGGTTTATAGAGGGTCGTTTTAATTAATTTTGTTGACTATTTTAAAAGATAGAAATCTTAAAATTTGGCCATAATACAGTGGCATTAAACCGAAATATCTGAGTGAACTTTAAACAACAGTAACAACATAATAGGGAGATAAAGATTTGTTGTGTTATGTAAATCTAAGTACTCTTTAAAATTAAGTAAAATCATTTAAATTAATTTGATAAAGTGTAATATTATTTATATAGTGACTTAGAAAACAATCCATGGGTCGTAAAATGCGATTTAATTTAAATAGGCCTATAGCAATCGCATAAATATACAAATTCATGATAATAGAATGCAGCATAAAGTGATCTTAATGATATATCAGTATATATATAACATCTAGATGTGTATAAATATATATATATATATATATAATATACATCTACTATATATATAATATATATATACTATATACACAGCATTGTGTGTTGCATTTCCTGCACTGTACTCGTTTTTCGATATATTGAGTATTCTATAATAGTAATTGTTATTGTCGTGATGGAATACTAGACAATAACTGGATTTGCGTCAGGAGAAACATGTATAGGTGTAATTTTGCCCTACCTGACGTGGAAATGTACCGAATACTCAGTACATTTGAAAACAATTGCGAAAAAAAATCGCAAGTTTTTCCCACCCGAGAACAACTTGCGATTTTTTCGCAATTGTTTTCAAATGTACTGAGTATTCGGTACATTTCTACGTCAGGTAGGGCAAAATTACACCTATTCTACAATAACAATGCTCAGATAGGAACATTATACAACGTTATGATCATACCAATTAATGAACCAATTGTTGTACGTGAAGAAGGCCACAGATTTGGTACTGTAGGACGTTACAGGGTTTCCAATAGAGTATTTGTTAAAATGTTGACATTTAATATTCGCTTTTATTTTATTACAAGAAATAACAAATTTTGTATTCAGTGGTTCTTTTTCGATTGGGGGAGGGGTTGGGGCGGTGGGGAGCGTACGCACCCAAATCATTATTAAAATAACGTTTTATTAACATGTACTCTTTGCATAATGTATTAAATCAATTAAACAATAAATTCTATTTTCTAAATTTAAATTTTATACCTCATGAAAATATGAATGTCATACAAAATATATTTTGAATGTATTTCTCACTAGTTCAATCTCTTTTATTTCAGTGTCTGGGGTCAAATCTACTGATCCATCAAGAAGTGCGAAATCGAAGTACAATCATTGTCATTGGAACACAATGTATTATCATTTGCCGGATTTATGTGGTTCTGCAGACAATCGCACGCGGATCATCGGATGATCATCGAAATTTAATTAAATGTAATATAAAATAAAAGTTATGTTTGTTTTAAATGTAATATAAAATAAAAGTTATGTTTGTTGTACAACGAACAAGTAATTCTCGAAAGATATTACATACTTAAATATAATTAGGCCTACATTATATTATATTATATAAAACTACAATCTTCGTATTTTATTTATATTACGTTTTGTATAGTTCAGATGCAACATTTCCGAGTATGTAAGAAAAAAAAGTTAACTGATGTGTAATTTAAAATACGTTATTGTGTGCACTTTCTTTGTCGTCATTGCATCAATAATATATATTTCATGATATTGATCAATATATAATTGCATTATAGTCAGTTCGAATCGAATACACCAGTATTATAGGCTACTACTATATCTTATAAAACTATTTGCAATCACATGATACAGACAAGTGGATTTTTTTTATTTTCAGAGCAAGTTGCCGTCAAATTTTTAAAAACCGGAAATGACGTGGTTGCTAAGTAACAAGCTCATGCATAATCATGAATATTCAGTAACACCTGTGCTCATTAGACTAACAATAAAAACTTTTAGCTCAGTTTTGACAAAATCGACCAAAAAGATTTTATTGTTAGTCTAATTAGAACAGGTGTTACTGAATATTCATGATTATGCATGAGTTGTTACTTAGCAACCACGTCATTTCCGGTTTTATGGGGTTTTTGTTGAGGGCGTCCTCGAAATAATTTCATTGCTAGTTTAATAGACAGAAGTAGCTAATAATGATGAAGCATTTTTTCACTTTGAAGTGGCTTTGAAGGCTGGTGGTTTAAGGCTATAAAGATTTTTTAACTGTTGAATTTATTAAAGTAAACACAGACATTGAATAAGATGAGAAGAAATGCATAATTCCATTTTATATTTATTTCCAAGCATTACAATCAAATTTTTATGTTACATATGTCTATATTCTTTGTAACAATATTACGGTTTATTTTTTCTATTAATAATACAATATCAATAAACATAAAGCATACAAGAATTAATACTTATTGCTAACATTATTTTTGAGATTTTTGCAGTGAAAAGATAAAAAAAATAAATAAAATTCACAGTATATTTTATTTAATTTCATATCCAGAAAATTTGCAGGATGCGTGATTTTTGACATTTTGGATAAATAGTTCGGTTGCCCTTTCACGATCGAGTCCGGACATTCTTTCCTGATATTTGTGGATTCGTTGTCTACCTCACTGAAATAGAAAAATATTGAGAAAATATTTAGAACCATAAAAAGATTCATAGCGAAGTATCAAAAAATTAATATATAAATAAAAACCAGTAAGCACATTATTACATTATATTAGGCCTAAGTACATTATCGTATTCAGCAATGTATGGACAATGTTGCTGATCAAACTTCTTCGTATCAGCATTATCATAAAAGGATCATCACACCACGGAATGAACGAGGATTAATAAATACATGGTTTATTTGGTAGGCCTAGTAGATTGCAATAGGATGAACAAATCAATTATGTTAGCATTCCGTTGGCATGTGTAAATAAAATGTATAAAAGTGTCCCATTCGATAGGAATGAATACAGTATACCGTACTTGCGTGAATAAGCGCCCTGGCGCCTAAATTTTTGCAATTTTTGCGCTTATTTAAATGCAGGGGGGGGGGGGGAGACTTATGAAAACAAAGTGGAAATTGAGGGGCGCTTATGGAAATAGATGAAAATTGAGGGGTGCTTACAGGAACTTGGAAAATTCAAGCAGGGGCGGATCCAGTAGGGGCTACTAAATTTTAAAATTTCAAGGCATAGTCCTATATTGAAATTAGCGCTCTCACTTATATATTCTGAATATGTTGTGACACCCCCCTCCCCTTTGAAAAATTCTGGATCTGCCCATGCAAGGGGAGCTTTTTAAATGAAAAAATGAAAAAAGAAAGATTTTACATAGCCCAGATTAGGTAACAATGTGGAGGACGATAAAAGATAAATGAAAACTTGCTTGCTTACATGCTTAAGGCGGGTGGTGTCACCGAAACACGATGGTTTTCCATTGGCATCTGTCCCCCATTACTGTTTTGAGGTCTTCTTTCTCCAGCCCAGTGTCTGCTTTAAGAATATCTAGAATTATGTAAATGAAAACAATTAAAATATTAATTTACTGAAATCATGAGTACGGTATTCAAACATGTTATATTAATATAATACTATAGGCCTAACTATATTTTCATACAAACATGTTTCATATAATGTATAAAAGGGTATGGAATAAAAATAACCCACAGAGGCCTAGAATGGCAGTATCAGACAACAACTTTAGAATAGTTTGTATGGTATCTGGCAAAAAATGAAGATAAATTTTAATTTAAGTTTTTTTGTTTTTCTGCCCTTATTTCTTTCAGTAAGTTAGGGGCGGATGAGGAGGGCAAACAAACATATGTTTTTTGGCCTAACCATATCTTCATACAAACATTTTTCTTGATATAATATTTATTAACTGATTGATTGAATTTATTCGATGCTCAACATGCACAAGCAAGATAAACATTGTGAACAGGAAAAGCAAAAATTAATGAGCACCAGGAACATTCCATTGGGCCAGAGTCCAGCCCACTTCCAATGGGGTCAAAATTTAAAAATATACTATCTGTCATGAGATGAAAGACGAAAAATTTAATTCCATAATTTTTTTTTAAATAAGTTATTAACTTACAATTAAATATCTGTATGACAATTTTTTTTCCTGTTAGCAATATCATTAGGCCAGAGTCCAGCCTATTTCCAATAGGGTCAAATTTAAAGATATACTGTCTGTCATGAGCTGAAAGATGAAAAAAGTATTACGGTACGGTACTCAAACATTTTATATAAACATAATACTATAACTATATTTTCATACAAACATGTTTCATAAAATGTATAAAAGTGTACCATTCGATAGAAGTGAATAAAGTATATAAATTTATACAGTATATTCAACCATTTGATATAAATATAATACTATAACCATATCTTCATACAAACATTTTTTATGATATAATATTCATTGACTGTTTGATTGAATTATTCAATGCTTAACATGCACAAGCAAGAGGAAAATTGTAAACAAGAAAAGTAAAAATTAATGAGCATCATGAACGCTCATTGGGCCAGAGTCCAGCCTATTTTCAATTGGGTTATATTTAAAGATATACTGTCTGTCATGAGATGAAGGACGAAAAATTTAATTCCATAATTGAATATTTTTTAATTAAGTTATTTACTTACAATTAAATATCTGTATGACAAATTTTGTTCGTGTTAGCAATAGCATTAGGCCAGAGTCCAGCCCATTTCCAATGGGGTCAAATTTAAATATATACTGTCTGTCATGAGCTGAAAAATGAAAAAAATAATACCATGATTGAATATTGATATTTAATTAAGTTATTAACTTACAATTAAATATCTGTGTGACAAATTTGTTTCCTGTCAGCAATACCTTTTCTATCATTTATATACATAGACACTTTTAAAAATCGGCTGGGAGTAGTGTAAATTGGAGGATATTTGAAGTGAAATGTCCGTAAATCAGAAAAAAATGTTTTAAAAAAGCGTCTACAAGGATCCAACAGCACTGACCGGGGTCTGAAACAAGGGGCAGCCTAGAGACTAGGTCAGGATCCTGGAATAAAATTCCTGGGTTTCATGGGGAGATTTTGCGGCTTAGGATCGCCTATGTGCTTTTTGACCACAATTGGATTGGCTTATCAGTTTCAGTTCAGTTTTTATTGGCACACACTTTTACAACAGTGGCGCACACTATTCAGTGGTGCGTCCAGACTAACTAATCAAAAAACAATACAGTAAAGTTGAACAAAATTAAAAAAGGAAACGCAAAGGTAAACAGAAAAATCAGGGAGTTTAACAAAATAGTAAAAGAAAGGAAAAACATCCCAAAAATACAAAATTCAAATCAAAGTAAAAACAAACAGCTTTACAGTAAAAATACACACACGTAAATATACACATTCATATATATGCATGCATATACACACATACGCACACACACAAATACACATACTAACAAGTATATGAACACACACACCAAACACACACACACACACACACACATATATATATATATATATATACATATATATACATATATATACACATATATATATACATATATATACACACATACACACACACATACATACATATATATACACACATACATACATACACACACACATACACACACATACTCACACACACACATACATACATACACCTACATATACATATATATATATATATATATATATATATATACACGCACATACACATACATACACATACACATATACATACATATACACATACAATATACATACATACATACACATACACACAGCCACACATATAAACTCACATATACACGCACATACAAATATACATGCACATACAAACACTTGCAAGCATGTACAAACACCCATATAAACAACAACAACAACAACAACAACAAAAAACCGTACCTAAATAAAGTTAAATTAAATAAACCGTTAAGTAATAGCATTATAGCGGGGGTATTAAGACAGGCATAATTCTTTGTATATATTACTTCTACAAATCCAAGCAGCACAGAGATATTGCTTACAATGACGGTCAAAAATGTCTCCCAATATCCCATTCTCATATAAGTTATCTAAAAACAAGTGATCAAAATGCTTTAGTCGGCGATTCGGACGATGGGGTCGAAGTTATGGTAACTCGGGCTATAGCTACATGAGCAAGTCTAGTTGCCTTTGAATTAAAACAATATATATTTTTAGCTTCAGTATTCACAGCATTTGCTACTGGGGCTCAGTATACTACGCATACATGGCCATTTAGAGAGAGTGACGCTCACCCATGCACTGCATGTTCATGTAATAATTTTGGTTTCTGGTTTTTTTTGTAACTGTATCTGGTTTCCTTAATTTTCTTTTTTCATTTTTCGACTTTCTTTCGCGCCACGAAATTTTTCTCTTAAAGGGATACCTACGCTTTATAAATTTTAAATATTATTATTATTTCTAATATACAAGATGGTCGACTGCTCTCTATTTTCGAAAAAATACAATTTGAGGGTTGTAGACAATGACGGATTTAAGTTGGTGGGGTGTGCAATCGGTCCCATAAATTATTCGAATTTCTAAAAAATTGAGAAAAGAAAAAGAAAATTGTATTCAAATTGAAGTCATTTCCGGCCATCTAGAGCATGGAGGTATAGAGGTAACACAATCATAAATGCATTTGTGAAAGTCCCTCCATGGATCCCTTATATTTCGAATTCCTGGATCCGCCACTGGTAGGTATATGGCCTGTTTTATATCGACATCATGGAGGTACATATCCATGACGACATTAATATCGGATCAAGACTGGTTTCCCAGGACACCTTCCCCCGGTATTTTTCCCCGGACATTTCCCCCCACCCCACTCCATGACATTAACCACTGTAACCACCAGCCTTCCCACCCCCACCCCCTTTTACATCTTTTCATATATAATTTCAATTATACATTTTAATTTATAATACATTTTAATTTTTTTATTTTACTTAATTTTAAGGAAGTACGGTAGTTATTTCTATATTCATTAGTGCAATAAGTTAGCAAGACTGATTGGTAAGAACTAATTATTTTCCCAGGCTCAGTGTTCTTATGTTTTTGCTGATTTCATTCATATGTTTACACACTTTTCAAACATACAAAATTATTATATTACAGCAATATGTTACTGTACCGTATTATAGGTTATTAGCATAAAACTGATTCCTCCATACTCTAGTCACTTTACTCCCCCGTGGTTACACCTAATGCAAATAAGGATAAGATTTGTTGGTTTATTCCATTAAAAAAAAAATAAAAACCTCATTTGACTCAATTTGTTCTTACCTTGTTCTTAATTTTAAGCAATTGCAGCCGCAGTGTTTTTATAAAATGTTTTCTTATACAAAAATGTGAAATAATTATAGCTTAATGACTTAATGTACGTAATTCATATTGGGTTTTTTATGTTTGTATAATTATTATAACCCATGTCTTCAATAGCGTTATATCATAATTTAATGATAACAACAATAATAATAATATAAATTTAATAAGTATAAAGAGCAAATGTAATAATCTTATTTATAAATTCTGTATGGATAATAATTTAATGATAATACTAACAATAATAAGAATAATAAAAAGTTACTAACTATAAAGAGCAAATGTAATAACCTGTATTCTATATGGATAGCATTATTAAATAAGTTGAAATAGATACCGTAATCAAAAGTAATTTAGTTGTATAAAGTAATAATTATGTAAAAAATTATAGCTTTATAAGTTTTTATTTTCAGTACGGTAATTAATTTCTTATTATTTAGATACTTTGCTGCCTACATTTGTATAAATATTTTCCATGTAAATATTGTTGTTATGATTTAATGAAGATTTAATATAAAAGAATGGCAAATCTTGATGTATTCCTTGTATTTAATTTCTTCCTTTATTTAACGCATGATGTAGGGGGTGGGGAAAGTCCGGGGGAAATTGTCCTAGGGAGAAAATGTCACGGATGGGGGGGGGGAGCAAATACCGGGGGAAGCAAACAGATGTGTATAAGTAAATACCGGGTGAAGTAAATACCGGGGGAAGTGTCCGGGGTGTAAATGTCCGTGGTTGGTGGGGGAATCCAGCCTGCTTCCATTTATATCAATTGATAAAGGCAGTGTAATTTGGGCATACTTCGATCACTTTTTTTGTCGTTTATAAATGATATGGAAAATATTGTCGGGGTATAACTAATTTCGATTATTCATAATTAAAATTTGTGCACCAAATAATGACAAGATTCTTGATAATAAATTTTATATAATGTCAATTTAAAAACAGATACGAATCTACAATGTAAACAACAAGCCCAATCTGTAAGTAAACTTTCTTTAGCCAGTTTCAGGAATTACGGTGGCGTTAGCGAGTCACTTGGAATGTGTGTTGTTGTTGAATAGAATGCAGCCATGTCAGTGCATGCCTCTGTTGAGGAAATTACCAATGCCTTCAATGCCTAACAATTTTTTAAGAATAATAACCATAGTATGATGACATAATTCCCATTTAGCTATTGAATTAACGATGCAAATTGTTCAATACTGTACTCACATTATGTTATTCGTTGTGACGTCTCCTTCCCGTAGTCTTTCAACTCCATAAGTATTGTGTACGTTCAAAACGCCACCTGGTAAGGTATAAAAACAATTCATTAATCTTTTTCTAAAGCACCATTCCTTTATGATAACGACAGAGGATGGTGGTGATTATGATGATGATGTTGATAATGATGATGATGATGATGATGATGATGATGATGATGATGATGATGATGATGATGATAATGATGACATTGATGATGATTATGATGATGATGATGTTGGTAGTGGTTATGATTATGATGATGATGAAGTTGATGATGATGTTGATGATAATGGTGTTGATAATGATGGTGTTGGTGATTTTAGGATAAAGAATCTACCTTTTTATTAAAGGAAACGACTACCAATGGAATCAGTATATGCTGTTATGTAACTTTTAATTCTTCAAAACAGGCAGGATGAACGTAACGGGTGATGTAATAATGTCGTTCAGTGTAGAAACGAAGGGCAGCTTCCATTTCACAATATACAACAATGTGTCCAAAGGCTGCCTGAACCGATGACAATCGAGCGACTCATCTTCCCAGGTAGCTCGGACCACTTTTTGTCAATTACTATTATATTACTTATTTTAATAATCTATATTATGTTATTATTAATGTTCGCATCATATTGTCTTTTTAATGTTATATTTGTTTAAATCCACCATGTGCTTGTTTTGTAATCCTATTCCGAGTACATTTCAACTTTTTTTGCAGTCCTTAATTTTATAAATTGAGCACTGTAGGAGATATCGCTAGCATACATCCTAAAGCACTGCCTGCCTGTTAAAGTCATACTTTCGGATAATACCATGCCTATTGCCACATACACGGCATGTCTCTTGAGGGGAGGGGTAGAGCCTCTACAGATTTTCCACCTACTATTTCCGGACATCAAGAGGTGCCATATTTCAAATAATTTGCTAACATCAGCTCCAAGAATGTTTGGGTTGAGTTGGGTATACTATAATTTCATGCTAACTTTAAATGTTGTGGCATCCGCTTAAGAGGAGATGTATAGCGGCTCCACTGGTTACCAGCTGCTACTTCTGGTGCCTTACAACGGCTATGTATTGATCACGTGTGTGCGTCAAGTGT